TAGTAATGTATAGAGGAATAAAAAAAAAAAAACAGAATAAGAACAATCAGGTAAACAAGATTTTAAAAAAGTAATCAAAGATTCTAAATACCAAATACACCCATGTAGAAACATAAAAATAGTATTTGCATATATTTTTAAGTTTTCCCTCATTAGAAGTTTTCTATGAATGAAAAAGTCAAATATGTACTAAAAGAAAACGAATAAAAACACAGACTAATGATTAAGTTACTCTTTAGTATTCATTTCACTATCCAATTCTGTACAACATTGGCCATATCTAAAAGATTTACCTAATTGTTCCCGTTTGCCGTAGCATCTTCTTGTACTCTGCGTTATAGCATTTCTTTCACTGTATTACATATTGTGTGTCTTCCTTGCATAGGATAACGGTATACATTTCAAGTTCTTAAATATTAGGATTTGGATACTAGCATTGACATCTTCCATTGCGAAAATACAAACACACCTTTTCTGCATATGAAAATATGAGCACCTTGTTTTCTAATGCAAAAACACCGTTGTCACAACATATACAAGTGGTTAAATGTCCTTCCTTTAATAACTAATATACAAGTTTACAAAAGTTGAATCTTACACCGTTTTATCAGAACAAAAACTAACAAAAAGCAGGGGGAAACAAACAAAAGCCATCTTTTACATTTTTATTTTCATATTTACACTTCTGATATTTCCTTAAATTATGTAGAAAATGGGAGAGAAATTTATCAAGCCAAAAGTGGGTTTTTCGTCTCTAATGCAATGCAGTCATAAACCGCGCGTTTTATATACAAGTGCATCAGAAAGGCTCACCTAGATGCATGCACGTGAAACAAACGTCTACTCTCAAAGAGTCCAGACGTGCTATAGAAACGTTAACGTCATAAAAGAACGTTTTTCTTAAGTGTACTTTTTACTCAAAAACGACATCTTGTCCAATGACTTAAGTGTGTGGTTTGTTGGTTGTATGTCCGCTCTGCGGTGACAAGGACAGAGAGGAAGAGATTTCTTACTGTTTGTTCTATTTCCCGTCCTTCCGAATGCCATGAAATCTTATTCAACTTCACTAAAACGAACGTCAGTAATGAAAGGTTTATACACTAGGGTGGGAATGCCCTTCATGTTCAGGAAAGGCTCAAGGAGGATGGAGGAATGTTGAAAGGATGAAAAGGTAGGGCGTTCAGACCATGAGAGGGGTGGAGGTGAGTGATGAAGGGCCGGGGATAAGGATGGGGAGACGCCTACTCATCCATGGCGGTGACATGCACGACGGCCTGCGAGTCGGCGATGGTGGTGATGTGGCTGTCGTCGGGGGCGGCACGCACCTGCTGCAGGATGGACTGGAGCAACTTCGGGTCCATGTCGTGCGTTGACACCACCTGTGGTCCAGCCAACAGGTATTCCTTGAGGCCCTCCGGATGCACCTCCACCACCGAGTATGCCGCCTGTGGCACGTCCGCTCGCAGAAGGTCCGGGTCCATGGCAATGGCCACATGTTCAGTCTCCTCCACACCAGCCTGATGGCCGGTGCCATCCATGCCCGCCTCCTGCACGCCCGACAACATCGAGCCATCCATCTCCTCGACACCCTCCATAGTCTCCATGCCTTCCATGTTTTCGACCGCTTCTGCATTCTCCATGGAATTCATGGCCTCGATCTGTGACGCATCCACGATGTCGTGCGTCTTGGCCAAGTGCTTGACCAGGTTGATGCGCTGCGTGTAGCCACGCTGGCATATGCTGCACTTGTATGGGTGTGAGCCCGTGTGCAATGTGACGTGGCGTTCAAGCTGCAGCTGCGTGGAGAAACCTTTGCGACACACAGAGCACAAGAATGGGTACTCCCCCGTGTGCCGCATCTTGTGATTGAGCAGATTGACCTTGCTGCGGAAGGGCTTGCAGCACACGTCGCACTGGAACCGACGCTCACCCGTATGCTTGATCTTGTGGACAGCCACCTCAAACTTCTGAGCAAAGCGCTTGCCACACACATCGCACGCGTGCGGCTTCACTTCACGGTGGCGGTATTTGTGCTTTGTTAGGTACTGCTAACGAACCCACCATCACAGCGGCGGAACGGTTTCTCAACGATCCTCTCCTCCTCCTCATGCTCGTCCATCTTCTCCTGCACCATAATGACCTCGGGTTGCGGCTGATGCTCCGGGTCCGGCTGTTCCGGCTCTGGATCAGGTGCTTCAGCCAGCTCCGAGTACGGCGTGTTTGCAGTCTCCGGGAACACCAGCAGAGGCTGCGACCCATCAACCAAGAACTGCTGTTGGTTGTTGTCCACCAGAAGCTGCTGTGTGGAGTCCATCGCCTCACCCACCTCGCCCACTGTCTCAAACACGTACAAATGGTGTGAGTTATCTGTGCTGGTGACCCCCTCCACACCGGGGTTCATCATCATCATCCCTTGCATGTGGGTGGCTTTGTGCTGGCTTAAAAGGTCGGTGCTGTAGAAGGTCTCATCACATACATCACATCGCAACACATCCTGCGTTGTGTGCGTCCGTGTGTGACGCTTCTGGTTGGACGAGCTTCGGAATTCCTTGTCACACAGTGGGCACTTGAAGGGCATTTGACCCGTGTGGATGAGATTGTGGTTCTTAAGTGCCAAGCGGGAAGCTAGCTGCTTGCCACAAACATTGCATGGGAAGTTCCTCTGGCGAGAATGTACATTGTGATGTGTGTAAAGGTATTTCTTCTTATCAAACACTCGTCCACAGATCTCACACATGTACAAGTGGGCTTCCACATTACCATCAGCTTCTAAACCCATTCCAGTGTTGGAGTATTGGGGTCTCAGGTGATGGATTTGCCTGTGCTTAGCCAGGTGGTGCTCGCGGCGGAATTTGTGGCTGCACATGTCACACTTAAACATCTCCTCACGAATGTGGTCCCGCATGTGCTGGTTCAGGCTGCTGTTGTTGATGAAGGTCTTGCCACAATTACCACACTTGAAGGGTCTCTCTCCAGTGTGGATCCTCATGTGGATCTTGACAGACTCTGCATTGGCAAAGTACTTTCCACATGTATTACATTGGAAGGGCTTCTCCCCACTGTGCATTCTCTTATGTTTCAGCAAGCGGCCACTCTGAGAACACCTATAATCACACTGATCACATTTGTAAGGTTTCTCACCACTATGAATCCTTTTATGAGTGTTATAGTTCCCACTGGTGGAGAAACTCTTACCACACTCACATTTAAAGGGTTTGTCATCAACATGTTTCTTTTTGTGCATAATAAATAATGATCTCTTATGAAAGTTACGGCCACAGACATCACAAGTGAACATAAAAGAATGCATAACTTTATGTCGGATGATATCACTCTTGTGCACAAAGAGTCTGTTGCACAGTCCACACTTGAGCAGTGGTGTGCCTGAGTGGAGGAGTTTATGCCTAACAAAGTGGCTCTTGTGGGCAAAGTCAATCCCACACTCATCACACTTCAGGACAGATGGGAGGGTGCTTCCCCCCATAGTCTCACTCCCCTCCTCTCCCTCTTCAGGAATAAAGGGTAGCTCTGGACCTGGCCGCAGGGCCTCCCGCAGGTGCACGTGAGAGTGGCGAATGAGTGTCAGCTTGGTTGCAAAGGCTTTCTTGCAGATATCACACTTCCAACTCTTGACTCCTTTATGTGTGAGCTTGTGCTTCTGGAGATACCTTTTTTCACGGAACGTACGGTGGCACACATCACACTTGTAAGAGGCTGAGAGCTTGTGTGACAGCTTGTGTGTGAGTAAGGCGACATAGCTGGGAAAGTTCTTGCCACAGTGCTCACAACTGTGGCGGACATTGTCTTCCATTCTTATGTCTTCCATCCCTTCTACTCCCTGACCCATGTTTTGGTCAAGCAACTGTTGCTCCTCGCCCTCTGGCACCTCAGCAAGCCGTGACTTGACCCTCTGACCTGCATCTCCATGGCTGTCCAAGTGATACATGAGCAGTGCAGGGGTGAAGAAGGTTTTACCACAAATCTCACATTTGTTCTGGTTCTTGAGCCGGTGGGTCCAGAGTTTGTGTCTCACCAATGCTGCACTCTGGCGGAAACTCTTCAGGCAGATGTCACACTTGAAAGGTCGCTCACCAGTGTGGACAAGAACATGCTTATCTAGGGCAGACTTAAGGGGGAAGCTGGCATTGCACAAGTCGCACTTGTAGTTCTTTTCTTGTGTGTGGACTCTGTGGTGACGGACCCACTCCTGGTGTTTCTTGAAATTCTTGCCACAGATCTGACACACATAAGGGAACTCCTCAGTTGGCATGGTGTGGATGATGGACTGCTGTTCTTCGACCAGATGCAGCTGCTTGTGTTGCTCCAGCTGCTGTTCTGTGGCACAACCAACACTACATACATCACAGTAAACCTCCTGTTCACCAGTGTGACAGTTTGTATAGTGGTCACAGAGGACATCCACATCAGTGAAGGACTCCTCACAAATTCCACATTTAAAGGGGTTTGTGGGAAATTTGCTCTCCAGTGTTTCTGATTGTTTTGGCTCATCATACAACTCTGATGTCTTGGGTGCATAGCCCTCATTCAGCTGCTCCTGAAGCTGTTCCACAATTGAGTTTTCATTCTGGAAGGGCTTTACCTCTGCCTCATCTTCCTCCTTCACCATGACACGATCACCATGGACAGTGCTCATGTGCTTGGTCAGAGTCCGTTTGAAGGTGAAGTTGGCTTGACACACACTGCACTTGAGCTCATCCTCTAAGCCTCCCACAGGATCACTAGATCTCTTGTGGACCTTCCTATGGCGATTGAGGCCACTGCTTGTCACAAAGCCCAGGCTGCAGATATCGCAGATGAAGGGACGATTGGATGTATGGGTTTTCATGTGTGTGTAAAGTGTGTCTCGGTGAGCAAAAGTGCGGCTACATACGGAGCAACGGTACTGATGTGCCTCCTCATGAATGGCCAAATGTTTTTTGAGTTGTGAAGCCTGGGCAAAAGTCTTAGGGCAATGCTGACACCGGTGGGGCCTCTCACCAGTGTGTGTGAGGACGTGAGTTTTCAGGTGCGATGGGTCTACAAAGCCCTTGCCACAGTGGTCGCAACGATGGGGGCGCTCCAACCCGTGCATCTTGTGGTGGGCCTCCAGTGCCACGTGTGAGGTGCAAGTCTTACCACACTGGTCGCACTCAAAAGGACGCAGATTGTGTTTCTGTCTGAGGTGCCGGATGTAGTCCCGCTTGAAAGGAATTACTTCACCACACGCCTCACACTTGTGCCCATCTACACTTACAACGTCGTCTGAAAGGAGGAAGTTTCAATGAAATGTGGGAAAAGCTAAGTGCCCTTTTGAAGACACTCTATTCCTTCAACTAACTAATATGCTTGATCAATAACACCTTAACTAATGGACAGTAAATGTAATTACTTTAAATCAAGGTGATATGAAAAAACAATACCAGAGTGCTTTCAGTAGTAAATATATATGCACTGCTCCTGACATAATAGTTATGGACTGAAAAATCTAATTTAACTAATACACAAAATATGCCTTTTAAACACAAAAACTTTAAGTTCTAATAATGAATATATAATCAAGAGCAATTACTTAATGATACATGCAACCAATTACAATTATTGGAAAACTAAGTGTCATAAAAATACATATGTAAAATAGGATCTAAGAAGGCATTAATAGTGAACTTGTAATCAAAGAAATCCTAAACCCATATAGGGCACCCAGAGCCCAAGAAGTGAACAGCAATCAAAGTTTAGCTACTGGTACCAACCTCAACCTAAAGGTACCTAAAATTAATTCTACAAAACAGTATATGTGAACCTGAAATATATGCAAAATATTCCCTTAATAAAACTACTAAGACAAATTCTGTGATTACAATACCTTGCAAAAAAATGCATGATCCTCCCCAGGATAACAGACACTAAAATTGCAATGAGTGAGATGACCCAAGCTAATGAGAGATAAAGCAAATATATAGGAAAGCTAAGCAAATAACAAATTATATACCAAACTTTTCTATTACCGCCATGCACAGTTCATATTATATAGCTCCTATGTAGTTTGAGGAAACAACAAAAAGACAAAAAGAAATAGAGAAAGCTACTTTTGTAATGAACAAACAGTTTTAAGTGTGAAAGGTTTGAAATGCATTCTTCATTTTCTGCCAATCCAAGTTTTTCTCAAATCTTTGAACATATATAAAAAAAAATATTTACTGAACTATGAGATTCTTCCTAAAAGTGTCCACTCTGTTCTAATTTTTATATCTGCTTGAACTGTACTCGGAACTATACATCCTACACTGATCTAAGTTTTTGAGGAGTAGATAGTCTTCAATAAATTCAAATGAAACACAAACATTTTAAAAGGAGAATATTCTCTTATAAAAAGCAAATAAACAGAATTCACATTATAAAACAAAAAGATAAAATTTCTTTCCTTTATTTATATCATATAAAACAAAATAGAATAATATATCCTACTGTAACAGAATCAAAGCTATTAATCAATAGTCATTTATTTCTGATCATTTCCACAAGACCCCCTTCCCGCCTTGAGAATGTACCAAGCAAAAAGATAAAAATAATGACCTCTGCCACAGAATCTTCAAGGTCTAAAGAAATGCAGTGATACCAGCAGATTCCAGCAGTGAGCAACTATAGGACACCTTGCATTAGCTTATAATCCTGTCCTTGTCCATGGGGCTTTCCTCATGCGAACAAAATTAATCCTATAACGTAAATGTGTTTCAGTGTCTTTTTATTGGAAATAAAAATATCTCATCGGCCACACATGTTCCAATCTTGATTTTGGCAGTATGATACAAAGGCAATAAATATTTGCATTTAATAACCGCCAGATCATTATTTTTACAATGTTCTTAGAAGCATACACCAGGTATTATGCCTCATCAAATGAAATATCTTTACTATAAAAAAAGAGAGAGAGAAAAAGACAATAAGACAATTTACAGTACTTGAAACTAAACACAGTAACAAAAAATCTAACTACAAAACAAATTAACAATAACTTTAGTAAAGCACTATTGCAAACTGGATTGCAATTGTCTGCTACACTGTAACTGTAAAGAGTAGAAAAAGTATGAATGAGAATAAATATCTTCACAATACAAGATATTCTTTCTCATTCATACCTTTTCTACATTTGTCTCGAATATGGTACAACTTTAAGAGTACCCTTGATTCATAACTTTATGTACTGAAAAATACTGATTACAGCAACTACTGGAAAACAACTCTAATACTACTGTCAGAACTACCTTGCAGCACTTTTAATCTATGACAGGCCAGTACCAGTAACAGCAGTAATCCTTAGTTTTCTATTTCTGAATTTATGTGACTAACAATTCTAGTCTCGGGCTGCCAGCATTACTTCTCACCTCTAGCAAATACATCCTATAAGTCCTATTTTCTAATAAAAAATACTGGTATTGTTTGCTCTTACCTGTACCCAGTCCAATGTCTTCTTCAGTCTGTGTTCCTTCTACAAATACAAAG